TAGAAAAATCATTAAAAAAACATAGTCACAAGTATTCTAAAAGCATTGAAACAAATAAATGTGCACCACTGTTGTTAACTAAGTTTAGATCAACGTCTGTCGAGGTAAAAAATTTAATAATCTATTCGCTCCAAAGGCTTGAAGAGTATTTTACATTTATGCTTCAAAGCTCCAATAATACCATATACCAATTAAACGAGGACCAAATCAATCAAAGTGTGTTAAGTCCATTTAAAAAATTATGCGGTGATGTACCGGAAGTACTTCTGTATATACATGAACATCAAACCAATGACCCGATTGACTTAACTTTGTTTAATCTGTTTTTATCACTTTGCGGAAATAACATGGATTTTATCGATCTCCGGTGTCCCGCAAAATACGGAGGTGAATTTGATAGCATATTATTATATCAAGAAAAATGTATTATGGAAGCGATAAGAGTTAAATTACTTTGGAATTTTTATGTTCGAAATGAAACAATTTTAGAAATAGATGAGTTTACGACAAATTCAGAAATTAATACTCAATGTTCCGATTTACATTACAAATATATTAAGGATATTTCTACAACCATAACTGAGTTCTACACTAAAAAAGGAAACGAAGTCATAATATGGACCACTTATGATTGGTTAAGTTTAAAATATTTACTCACCGAAGTATACGAAGATAATATCGACATTAACGGGATAAAATTCAATAAGATGGACATAGAGAATGTACAATTTACATTTTCGGAGATTTACTATTATTTTTTACCTTTGAATGCAAATATAACTAAATTTTTATTTTTTCAAAATATAATTTTATGTAATTATCTGGACGAAATAATGAATATGTACGTTTACCGACATGCAATATCGATTGTTGTATACTTTGAGAATCGAGTCTATGACAAGGAAAACGAAATAAAATTATCAAGCTTGAAGAACTCTCTTATGTGGTATGAAAAAAGCCGATATAAATTCTTTTTAAGTCTACCAGCTAAATGTGAAACTAAGGACAGTGTATTAAAAATAATTACAGCTATTAAAAAATTAAAAGACGATAGTAACTTTTCCGAAATTCGTAACAACATACCAAGTACTACGTACGAAGAACAATATGGTGCAACCAAAACTATAATTAATTCTAAAAATATGATTGACTTTTTTAACTCCTATTTGAAAAGAAATTGTTTTGCAGCAATTGATTTTGTAAGCAAATTTGTTGATATCGTACGTAAATCGACTAAAGTAATAAACCCGTCTAATAAAGATTATGATTTAATCAATGACGAAAAACCGTGTCATGATTTAAATTTTCTTCCTAAAACAATACTTTGGAGGGATCGAAATAAACAAAATTAAAACTAAGAAATATTTTTATTTAAAATTTTACAAAAGTCCGTTTAATAGTTCTCAGATAACTAGTTCAATTTAATGTACATAGTATGATATATTAGTTTGAAGACAACTGGGCTGCTAAATCAAGTGGTCAACTACCGAAATCTCGTTTTTTCCGCATGAATGTCTACACTAGTGATGATAACTAAGAAAGTGTCTATTTATTTTTATATTTATATACTTTTTTGTATTGTCTATCATGTATTGGTTTACGTTTTAAAAAGTCTATTGCTATTTAATGGCCTAAAGTCTCTATAATAAACTATTTGTTTTGTTGGCTATAACTAGCACGAGGCTCGTTAAAATCATATTCCACATAATTTTTTCCGTACGGTTACTTAATGTAATAATTACATATTTTATCGAATAATAATATCCAATCTGCTCTCAATCACCTAGGTTTAAAATAGTATATTATTTAAGAGGATAAGAGTAGTGTAATGTTTTCTATTTTAAAATATGTAAATGTATATATCATTATTATATATGCGTTTTGATAGGATTATAATTACATGTAATTGTTATCGTATAAAATATTAATAAAATGTCTTAGATTTGAAACTGTACGTTTTAATTTAATTTTTCAAAATTGAAAAATATGTGTTACCTTTTTGATGGCTGTATCTCAGACAGCTTTGGAGATTAGCAAAATATTTTAGATATTTCTCAAAGCCATTTGAAAAAATATCTGGCTCGGTTGTTAAAAATGGTGGATTCTATTTATGATAATTTAAGTATTTATTAAACTTAAGCGCAGACTGGAAAATCAATAAATAAAAACTCATTTCAATTAAAGTTCATCTAGCTGAAAGATTTTCTCAATATGGTTTGAGCAACACACACTATGCACTATATGCAACTCAACGGTCCAACCGTTCTAAAATATTAATTTAACGTTCAACCATATCATGAAGACCGGGTAATCTAAATCTGAAACGTATACCCGAATAGCGTGTAGGTATTGTATCGGCCTGAGTATTTTGATAATATAGAATAAAGTCGAGTTCTAGTTAAACGAGATAATATTTTCGGAATAGGTACTTATATACAACAAATTAAACAAATCTTTTCGACGATATAAATTTCAATATAATATGCTATGGTAGTAAACTTCTTAAAAGACAAACGTTCTTCAACGCATTTGAGTATTTTTCGTATATCAACGAAAAAAACTCTTGCCAAGTTATGTATTTTGTGAATATATTTGTGTCAATTTTATCTAAATAATCTAAATTAATTAAAATATCTAGATCCTAAATCACTGTGCATTAATATATACAATATATCTGTAAAATAAATTCTAATATTAATAAAACCTTAAGAGTTATCCCATTTTCTATTACTTATGAAAAATAAAATTATCATTCTATACCAGGATTATTAATGTATACCAATCTAACGTATCATTAAATAAATATATAATGAGATCCTAATCTGAGAGATCTGAGCGGAATTAAGTAGATGATTTTATTATGTACACTGTAGTAAAATCATTAGATTTAGCAGAAATGCTTGAAAATTTAACAGGTTTATTAAGAGTCTTACACTGTGGAAAAAAAATGAGTTTAATGTAGAATTTTTTTTTTAAGAGAAGTTTAATATCAAATTTTAACGAAAATCGTCTGAGTAAAAAGATATGTGGACCAGA